TTCATATTTCAGCACTCAAAGGACCATTTCCATGTTTTTGCATGTTCTATTTGCTACAAATCACATACAGATTATATCACTGTTGTTTTCTATATTATTTTAACGTGTTTTCCCACATTCCAATGATTCCTGTCTAATGAGTAAACATCACATCTGCATTAATAATCATTGTGCATTAATGCAGAGCAGATTTTTTCACGATAATCTGCAGTGCATTACCAGGCAGCAACGCGGCAGATATGATTGTTTACTGTCATGGATCACCTACCTCACGCACGTTTCAAGCGTCTGCTAATTGTTTTCCACAGTGAAGTAAATGAGAATCAGTGGCTGTCTGGGAGGCACATCAAAACACATTAAACAGTCTTTAACAAAACAGCAGAAATGCAATGTGTGAGTTGAAGTAAATGAGCTAAAACATGCAAAAACACTGAAATGGTCACACAATAACACTATGGGACACATTTCACTTGCAAAAAGTGAGCACTTCCACATCCACACACACGTAGACACACACACACTTACACACACACCTGCATTCACACCTGTATGCCACCCTGAATGCTGATGGTCAAATGGGTGCTAGGTAGCATTCTGACCGTGAGAGACACCCATTATAACGCATCATAATTATCAGTAGAAGAGATGGCCATTCTCTGGGTGCGTGTGTGTGTGTGTGTGTGTGTGTGTGTGTGTGTGTGATCAAGGTGGGGCAGTTAGAAGTAGTCTCTTCTTCGTGAATCTTCACTGATGAAGGACGGGTTCCACTGGGCGGGGTAGATGCACGAATGGCGGGACCCCGGCAGGCCTGTAAACGGGTACAGGCCGTTTCTCTCCAGGTCTGAGTTACGTAGCGCAGGCTGAGGAAAAGAGCACAGAAAAGAACAATAATGTTTGAGATGTTTGTTTTTGACTTATATAGGTATTTATCAGTGGTATTCAAACACAAAAGTCAAAGCCTTAACTTGAACAATGAAGACGAATGAAGGTGTGTGAGATAGAAATGAGAGTAGTGTCGTATGTCCACTTACAGAGTAGTAAATGTCAGTCATCTGAAGCAGGTTCTTGGTGCTGCCGTTCTCTTGCATCTCGATGGTCTCCCTGCCCCACTCCGTGGATATGCGGTTATTTTTGGGGAAGTCCGCATACGGGGACATCTGCATGTCGCCACTCTTGAAGATGATCTTGTTTATGTCGTTCTTGTCTTTCCTTGGAGATCAAACGTGTTTATAAAAGTGAAACCTTTGCCACATTCCATCAAGCTGATTCACTTCATCAAATCATTGAAAGGGAAGAAATGTGTGTTTTGCTCATTTGGGTGAACTGATGCTTAAACGATCACTTGTTTTTTAATCTGCATCTTGAAAATACAGTAGAGAAAGGCAGATTAGTGGGTACAACAAATAAATAATCTAATAGAAAATGTCAGTTTAGGAATAAAAAAGACAAATTGAATGCAAACGAAAACACATTTCTGTGCTAAATGAATAACAGCAACTCACTTGCAACAGACGACAATGAGAGCGATGATGAGGATGAGGAGCATAGCGCCCCCTGCCGGCGACACCACGATTGCAATCAGCTTGTAAACTGAAATATGAAATCACAACATTTGAATGCTTATATGATTAAATCAAATGTGAGATTTGTTTACAAAAGCATCCTCTATTAAAGCTGAGTTTAAAAGCCACTTACAATTCCCACAGTTGAATCCTCCAAATCCGAACATGCACCTGTAAAGTAGACCCAGAGTCTGCAGTGAGAATTTGGATTTGAATCGTACAGAATAACTTATCAGTACTGAAAGGAACAAATAAATCAACTTACGGAACACAGGTGTCATTTTCCAGCTTGTAGCCATCCCCACATTCTGAAACAGACATGTTCTGTTGAAAAGAAGCTCTTCACTTTTCTTCTTATATCCCTCTTGCTTTTCTTTTAGCATTATCCTTTTTTTCCACCTCATTGTTATTTACTTTAACTCTTCTTTCTTGCCTGTAACTTATTTGTGCCTGTTTAACGTTTTGTAAATCAATAACATATATGTTTCTACTTATTTTATCAAAAGTCAAAGTCAACTTTATTATCAATCTTTCAGTTTGTGTGTACAGCCAGAGAGATCGAAATTACGTTTCCAACAATCCCGAATACAAAAATACAAATATATATAAAAATATGTATACCCTATATATAAACACAATCAACAGACACATGTATACATATGCACACATTAAGACATAAATAAACGCACAACAATCAATATATACAAAATAACAGTCACTTCAATATCTTGGGAAATGTACATTAGTGCAAGATTGCCCATAGCAGCGTAAAAAGTGTCTGGTGCTGGATTTGAGTGTCTGAGTGTGTGGGAGGTGTTAAAGTCCAGTGGGGGCAGGGGGGAGAGGGGGGAGGGAGGTGAGAGAGTACAGCCTCCTGACAGCCTGGTGAAAAGAAACTGTCCAAATTGTCTACACGTATGCAGAAATGTGTGAATAAAGCATAAACAATAGTAAAAATGGGCACTCGGCTCACCTAAGCAGGACAGGTCGTCGGGGGTGTGTTTGTAGTATCCGTGGAGACACTGGCAGCTGGCCGTGCCGCTGCTGTCCGTGCAGAAGGAGCGCTCTGCGTCACACTCGGTCTTCTGGGCCACACACAGACTTTCCGCTGGAACACAGAGTGGACACAACTAATCATGACTTCTGCAACAACACAGGAATCTGCTCTCCGTCTCTCACACCAGGATGTCAGAAAACACCAAACCAGCCTCCTTGTTTCCCTCAGATTATCTTAATTCAGTGTTGTTATATTTTCATGGTATTACATGCTTGTATTCGCTGTTACTGTATGATTTCCTGTAGTAAAGCGTAGTGAAATATAGATTAGATTAGATTCCTTTATTGTCACTACACACTAGGGCTGTGCAATTCATCGTATTTTAATCGCAATTACGATTTTGGCCTGCCACAATTACGAAAACAACATAATAGAAAAAAACGATTATTTTGCTTTGCTAGGTTGTGACTGCACTGCAACATATTTGATCTAATTTATTTGTATTCATCATATTTATATATGTTTAGTAGCTTGTTGAAGTGCGCTCCAAAATATTTGTTGATCTTGTTTATTGGTATTCATTATTTTGATATTATTTATTTAAATGTAGATATAAATGTATCATTTATTTTATTTATTTTAGTATTGGTTTTTCAGTTGAATTATACGCTCAGGGAAACAGTTAAAAAGATACTGTTCAAATTATTATTTGTATTTAAAAGTTCAATAAATGGATGTTTTCAAAGTCAATGAATAATCGTATTTAATAATCGTGATATCAATTATTGACCAAAATAATCGTGATTATGATTTTTGTCATAATCGCACAGCCCTACTACACACAGCGAAATTCCAAGCATTCCCGATGGTGCAATCACACATAACAGACAGTATAAGTATAATTTTCACAATACAAGCTAAAACTTTTAATATATCATATATAAAGTGACTTTAAATTGGACCTATGATACATTGAACAGTACGCTTAAAAAACAATACAACATTACCATACAAATACAAGAACAATATGGTCAAGGCAGTACAAAATGTAAACAAGTCAATAAGTAAGTTATTGCACACAGCTGTATGATGACGTTTCTGAGTGATGTAATGATGTAACTTCAGCAACTGTGTACAGCTTTATTATGCCCTCTAGTGGCTGTAAACAAACTCACAGCTACTCATGGTAAGAGAAACCAGTTAAAAAATGAGCACAGAAAAAAAGAATAATGTTTATTATAATAATTGTCTATGAAGTTTACCATGATAAGTGAGCTGGTGGTGCAGCACCATGCGGCAGTGGGCCAGAGAGGAGCTGCAGTTGCTGAGAGACATCTGGATGCTGTTGTTAACCTCCGCGCTCGTCACATCGGTGGAAGTGGAAAACATGTTGACAGCTGAGATATGAACCCCGTCCTCTTCTCTGTGGGGGAAAAGGTCAGATGTCAAAACAGAGGTGGCAAAATGTCCATGTTGCATCGTTCAGTCAAAAAAAGAAGGTTGTTTTGTCTTCCTTAGTTTTTCTTCTAATCCAGGCGTATAAATGTTAATGTTTTCATCTTTTTCATCTTGTGATTTTAGAAATGACAGAAAAAGTACAAGAATAACACGTTCAACTACGGCAAGGACTTACTTCTTAGTCAGCATTGAGCGGCTGTAACCTCGTAGGACTGACAACGAAGCATTGAGCTGAGGGGGGGAAACAGGGAGAGAGTGAGTAGCAGGTACAGTACACATAGGCCTAATGGAGATGTTATCAGAAAGAGCAGGGACACAGGGTGATGTGGACGGCCTCTCACCAGCTGGATGATCTCTCTCTGGATCTCATGCATGGTGGAGCTCTTGAAGATAAGAGGGTCATGTGGCAGCCTGTTGACTTTGAATGTTCCCAGAAACGTCTTTGCTACGGAGGGAGAAATACTGTTGGCTTTAGGGGAAACAACTTATGCATTATCTTTATATTCTCAAAATAGTTAGCAACTATATCGAATGTTTTTATTTATATATATTCAACCGTGCAATATTGACTTATGAGTGAAAAAACTGTTTGCAAGTATTCAACTTTGCAATACTCCGGCATTGATACTGTATTTACCTATTCAAACTAAGCATATCAAAACATTCTTATTTATACTATTCCTCGGCTGTTGTTTTATATTGAAGTGTACATATTTTCCACAATTTTATCTACAATCTGTTCGATTTTTTTAATTTTTCTTTCTAGAATGTGTAGTAGATGTACCATATTTGTTCGTAGGGCCGTGATTCTGTTATGTATTAGAGGGTTTTACCTCTGGTGCAGGTGCGCCCGTCCTCCAGGTCGAAGCCGAGCGGACACTCGCAGCTGAAGGACCCTCTGGTGTTCACACATCTGGAGCCGACGGGGCAGGGGTCCCTCTCACACTCATCCACATCTGGAAACACAAGCACATGGACATATTACAAAACCATTTCTGAAAGGGTTCTCACTGAAACCTTGACACGTATCATAATCCTCTGCATTATATTAGATAAAGAGCGTTTTCATTATGCTTTGCTGGATATGTCATGCTTGCTTAAATTGAAACACAGCCGTTAAAGTGCATGCTGATAGTGTTGCGAGTAATGAGAGAGCAGCTCACCCTGGTTGCAGGTCAGTCCGGTCCATGCCTGCTGACAGTGGCAGGTGAACTGATGCCCTAAATAGCTCACACACATCCCTCCGTTCATACAAGGGTTTGACACACAAGGGTTTCCTGCAGTTCAGAGAGAACACAAAAGCCATTCAAATAGTTCAAAACAGTGTAATCATTTGACAGTTGTTTCATACTGATATTCTTTACGGCTCATCAATCTCTTTTTATATGGATACTTTTCTATTTCTGCGATAGGTTTCCTTCTTTGCATTGTTACTCAGTTTTCCAAACATATAATTAAGTAGAGACATTTCGAGGATTTCGAAATGCATCAAGGAAAAGAAAGCACCTTCTTCAGACATTAGAGAACAGATCTGCAGTTTGAACAAACTAAACTGCCTTTGAATCTACCGCTAATCGTTCTGTAGTAAAGTATTACACCAAACCCTATGCAGGACATCAACTACAGTTTTAATTTGCCAACATCTAAAATAATGTCTTAACATTATCTTGAATGTTTAATCCTTTTTTGATGTCATTTATTTTACATTCTACGTATGAGATGAGGCTTTTGAATGCCGCTTTGAATTCATACTTTATGATGTTATGATGAAAATGGTGTTGCCGTTTGACTGCCTCTTTATAACAGTTGCTTGCCTCACTCTGTGTGGCAAGTGGGAGAGAAAACTGTTTGTTGATGTTGTTTTGAAATGCCAACAAATACAAAGACTATTTCAACATAAAAACAGTTTTGGAAATTATATGTCGTTATGTTTTTTTGTAATTCTTCTTTAAAGCACATTTGAATAATATAAGTGTTCAATTATTTTATCTACTCTGCAAATATAATGTTTCAAAACAATGGATACACATGCAAGAAAATATAATCTGGGACACATCGTGTGTGGAAACGACATGTCAAGGTTGGTCATCTGGAAATTAAGTAAGTACAAAACACTGACTTGGTGGTGTTGGTGGTGTTGGTGCCTTGGTGGGTGAAGTGGTCCCCACCAGCTGTGTTGTTCCCCCCTCTGTCTGTTTCTTCCCGGGGGTCTGCAGAGCCTCTGTACTCTTGGTGGGGGTGCTGGTGGTGTAGGTGGTGGTTATGTGGCTTTGAGTCGTGGTGATTCCCGGCGTGCTGGTGCTGGTTTCCATCTGCAGGGTGGTGGCGCTTGTGGGGTTATCCATCCCAGTTGAGGGCCCCTGGGTTTGGCTGGGGGACACCCGGTGAGTCGGGTGAGCTGCAGAGGTCAGCAGGGCCAGGGTGGAGGAGGTGGTGAAGTGGGTAGTGGAGGGGGTAGTGGAGGGGGTAGTGGAGGGGGTAGTGGAGGGGGTAGTGTACGGGACGGTGGCCTCGGGGGGCGAGTCTGTGGTAGAGCTGATGGCGGTGCTGCTGAACCCGGAGGATGAGGTTGGAGCTAGAGGAGTGGAGGTGGTGGTGGTGGTGGTCGAGGAGGAAGTGGCTTTAAAAGTGTCTTCCTCTATTATCTTTGGTCTGTTAAAGAGAAATTGAATACATCAAATCTTTAACAGAAATAAGTATGTACAAATTATTTTCATCTACAAAAAATGAGGACGTTATTGCTCATATTAAACAAAAGAAGGCTTCAGTCAGCGGCGGGTGCTAGAGTTGATGTTTCAAACTTTCAATCAGCAAGATACTTTGTTGAGTAGCAAAATATATTTTTGCTTTAAATGATCATTCAGAGTTAAAATGGTTCACTGCAAGATGCAAGGTACTCAAATGATATGCGTTTAGATTGGTTCCCTATAAGACTCGCTTTCACTTTGCAATTCTGTCTGCCATTCAACATGGTATAATCTCCTCGGAGATAAGTCTCAATTAACGTTGTGGATCAAAAAGAGCAGTGTGTTGTGTGTGGTGTCTTTAACTCTTTTCAAACAATAGTAGTTCAAAAAGTTGCTAGAAGTCCGTATTTGTATATTGGTGATACTATCACACTGCAACTAGTCTAAGCAGCATTCGGAATGAATTAGAAAATAATATATATTATGTATGAGTTCATTTTTTGCTCTTTCCTAGATGTTCTGAAAAACATATACTATTGTTTATTAAATAATTATAAAAACGTACCTGTCTGTAACAGTACCAGCTGTGGTGGTGAGGAAGGCCTCAGTAACCAGCACTGGAGTGTCCGTTAGCGGACGGTCCACTTCCGATGTTCCACTGCTGACAGTAGGGGGCGCTATGGTCAGGCCCACGTCCCCGAGGTCCTCCCTGGTGTGGGCTGAAGCCCCCTCAGTGCCCTCCTGGTTCTGGGTGCTGGAGCTGTGCCCCCCGCTGGAGGACTCAGTGGAGGCTGTCACACTGAAGCCCCGCCCCTGCTCTGTCCAGGAGACGTTTACAGGACCTCCTGCAGGCGAGGTGACGGATGGTGAGGAGGACACGGACACTTCAGATCTCTCAGTGCTGAGCTCCGTCACTCTGAGAGGAGGCGTCGAGTCGGAGGTCTCCTCTGATGTGGCGGTGTATCGAGGGTCGGTAGCATTAGGTTGTCCGGTTAAACTCTGGGTCCCTCCTGAACTCCCGGTCTCTGGAAATCCCGCCTTAAAGGAGCTGGTACTGTGTTGTAGGTCTGTTGTGTCCCCGCTGTCAGTCCTGGTGGACAGGGCGCTGCGGGTGTAGTCCTCAGTGTCTGTAGCAGAAATACTCAAGGTGGAGGGGGCCTGATGGGAGTTGGAGTCCTCTGTAAAGGCGGAGGAGGTGTGGTTGCTGGAAGAGGAGGTGACGGACAGCAGGGTCCTCTCCCCAGCGCGGCTGATGTCGGTGGAGGTGTAGGTGCTGTCGGTGTGGACGGCTGTGTGGGACGTCCAAGCATCTCCTTGTCTGAGGGTGGTGTCCGGGCTGTCCTGAGGGAGTCTGGCCTCATCTGTCATCATCTGGGAAGAAGCCTCCCAGGAGACAGCGGGGGAGGCGCCTGTCACCCGGTCTGTGAGGGTGGAGTCCTTCCAGTCCCTGCTGCTGCTGCTGCTGCTGCCGCCGCCGCTGCTGCTGCTTCCGCTGCCGCCGCCGTTGCTGCTGCTGGTGCCGCTGCTGCCGCTCGTGCTGCCGCCGCCGCCGCCGCCGCCGCCGCCGCCGCCGCTGGTGCTGCCGCCGCTGCTGCTGCTGCTGCTGCTGCTGCTGCCGCCGGTGCTGGCGCCGGTGCTGGCGCCGGTGCTGGCGCCGGTGCTTCCGCCGGTGCTGCCGCCGGTGCTTCCGCCGGTGCTGCCGCCGGTGCGTCCGCCGGTGCTGCCGCCGGTGCGTCCGCCGGTGCTTCCGCCGGTGCTGCCGCCGGTGCTGGTGCTGCTGCTGCCGCCGCCGCTGCCGCTGCTGCTGCTGCTGCTGCTTCCGCCGGTGCTTCCGCCGGTGCTTCCGCCGGTGCTTCCGCCGGTGCTGGCGCCGGTGCTTCCGCCGGTGCTGGCGCCGGTGCTGCCGCCGGTGCTGCCGCCGGTGCTTCCGCCGGTGCTTCCGCCGGTGCTTCCGCCGGTGCTGGCGCCGGTGCTGGCGCCGGTGCTGGCGCCGGTGCTTCCGCCGGTGCTGCTGCTGCCGCCGCCTCTGCTGCCGCCGCCTCTGCTGCTGCTGCTGCTTCCGCCGCCGGTGCTTCCGCCGCCGGTGCTTCCGCCGCCGGTGCTTCCGCCGGTGCTTCCGCCGGTGCTTCCGCCGGTGCTGGCGCCGGTGCTGGCGCCGGTGCTGGCGCCGCCGCCACTGCCGCTGGTGCTGCCGCCGCTGGTGCTGCCGCCGCCGCCGCTGGTGCTGCCGCCGCTGGTGCTGCCGCCGCCGCCGCTGGTGCTGCCGCCGCCGCCGCTGGTGCTGCTGCCGGCCTCAGTGGAGGCGACAACAAGGGTGGAGGAGAGTGGCCCAGTAGACAGACTCACGGCCTCTAATGACATGCTGCTTGTTTCAGTGAAGGTCTGTGTCTGCTCAGTGTCTGTGGAAAAAGAAAAAAAGTATTAATATATTTTATTTGTACCCCCTTCCTCCTGGCAATAATTCAGTACCAAACAGTACAATCGCATTATTCTTCCTCTTTATTTATTATTAATGTACTCTGTAACCTGTAACTCAATGGGTTATGGGGGTGGGTTGGAGAGAGGAGGGATGGAAATGGAGATTTGAACCGAATGGACATGCTTTGTATCACTTGCTTATTTGGAAAAAAAATGAGAAAATCAAGTATTATCAATATTAACAATATTTAAGTCAGCTGATCAACTGCTCCTGAATGTGCCCAGAACCAGGTCTAAGCTCAGAGGGGACCGTTCTTTCTCTGTAGCGGCTCCCACACTGTGGAATAATCTGCCCATGCATATCAGACAGGCCGCCACACTGTTTGTTTTTAAATCGCTTCTGAAAACCCACCTCTTCTCCTTAGCGTATTGACATCTTGTAGTTGCTTTTATTGCTTATAAATTGTCTATTGTTTTTACTTGTACTTGTTTTATGGTGTGTGAGCTAAGCTGTGTGATTTTTTTTGCATGTTTCCTTTGTTTATTTGACTGTACAGCACTTTGGTCTGGAGGTTTTAAAGTGCTTTATAAATAAAGCTGTAATGTATTGTATTGTATCTGGCTGTTTCTGCACTTTCAATCACCAACTGTACACATTGCAGCTCACTTTCAGCTGTGGCCACCAGAGGGCGCTCACCAGACTGCAGAAAGGGGGAAGATGCTGTCAGAAGAGCTGTTGTTTGCTGCAGCAGCAATGATTTTGGGTGGAGAACAACTGGCAGCCAGGCTTGTCTGCTTTAACAAAGGTTTGAGGTCCTAAATATGGCGGTAACTGTCTCCACTGGGAATCAACCGTTTCCTTCCTAAAGCTGAGTGAGCACAAGGCTCTGGCAGAAAACTGTCACCATGAGCATGGGCGTGTTTCATACTCAGTGGCTGTGGAGTTTGTTTTTAGCCCGGCTTTAAGATGTTGTTTAGTGACAAAATAAACCACCCAAACATCATCAGAAGTGTCAAAACGAATGTTGCAATAGAAAATAGATTGTTTTTAGATATATATTTTTAACTGATTCCTTTTGGCAGTTGAGATAAACAAGAAAAACACGTAGAAAGAAAGGATGATAATGAAAATACAAGATGAGTGTTTTAAAGGCCACCAAAACTGTAATGGTATAATTGTAATTCTTGTCTAATGACCAATCCACTGGTGTTATCAAAACTAATGTTAACATCAGAAAAGAGAATCATTTTAAACTTGAAATCTGGATCTGTAAGACATTCACATGATTTTTTAAGTTGATATGGGGAACAGCATGTTAGCAAACAGTTCCCTTTTTTACACATTGAGCTGGCATTGGGTAACATTAGCATTCATTTGGATGTACATTAGTCCAAAACGTTATCTTACTCCCATGCTCTATTCAGTTAACTTTCTTAATTTGTTACATTGTGGATTAATGCACGGTAAGTAGTTCACATTGGGATTATCACAAGTTTTGTTTACCGTTGTTAAACCAAAACAAAGAGCTGAAAATAACTAGAGGGGACCTGCAGAGTTGGGTAATAATTATCTGTGGGTTCATCTCCATATATTACATACTTCCCAAACAAGTGCATTACTACTATGTACTACTTGCAGTTTGTAGTAAGGTCTTTGCAAAGAACGCATGTGTAGTAGGTAGGTAGTGAGCAAATGAGTGGATAAATGGATTATACTGCACAAGTTGTGAGGAAATAAAACCTCTCACATAGGTCTGCTGGGTACAAAGTGTGTGTGTGTGTGTGTTGTGTCTCTGCCCATCACTGAGGCTGTACTGTCTGACAGCCTGTTATCTGGCCAGGCTCCAGCAGCCCAGGACTGGAACAACAGCGCTCTGAGGACGAGTGTCGGTGCTGGACGGCATCCTGACAGCCAACACGTCGCAGCCAGCTTCCAAAACCAAAGGAGGGGAGAGTTCAACTGCAGAACAGCCCCTCCACTGGGAGTCTGGGAGCAGAACTGGGCCACTTTTTTTTCCTTTCTCACTTCCTCTGCATGTGTCTCTCCCATTATTTCATTTTCTCTCACTGGATCCAGTCAGGGCAACAAACCTCAGACTGGAACGTGGTGCTGGCAACAATCGAGGGACCCTCCCAGATTCTCTGCTGGTTATCACTCAGCTATTGACTGTTAACACGACTGTCAGTGTCACTCTTCACATCTGTTATACCAGAAGCTCTGCAGCTAGTATATTCATTTAGGCAGTAGGGTAAGCATATTAATGAGGATGGATGCTGGTATGACCTAGCAGTGTTTTGAATTTATATATTGGTTGTGTTTTTGGCTTATCACCAGATGTCTGTGACCCGAAAGCCCTGGTACGTGACAGGAAAGGTGAAACTGCGTGACATCAGGGAGAGGAAAGTGAATAATTTCCACTTTATCATTCAAACCAACTCTTTGCCTTTGATAAAAACATTTGACCCTCCCATTGCATTCTGTGCAGCTCCAAACGCTTCATGATGTGCTTCATAATATTCTTCATAAAGTCAGTTTTGTCTATACATCTCAGTTGCATCAGTGTATGCAGTATATTTTGGCTTCACTTTTGGTTTAAATGAAGAAGCCAGTGACACAATATAGTAATCTCCCTTATATAAATACATGTAATTACAAATATCTAGCATCAGAGAAACATAGTACAGAATGCCGTGGGGAGGTAATGGTATAATGTTGTGTGACCACTTGTGTGGCAAATTGTAGCATTAGAAGTATGACAGTATTCATGATAATATATGGTGGAGTGAACTTGCTATATTAAGCAAGGCCCCCGACCAATTCAATCCTTGGGGCCCTTTGTTGCCATTCACACCTGCACTGTCTCTCCCCCATTTTCTACATAAACGTGAAAATGGCCAAAAATAAGTCTTAAAAAAAGATTGAAATTGTATTTGTGTTTAAAAAACTATAAAAGCAACCGTAGATTTGAAGAGCAAAACTGTAATCAAGTAAGCAGGTGCATTAAGCTATCCTAAATGCTGCACATGTACAAATTGATTTTCAAATAGACAATGCAGTCAATACATTTAAACAATTACCAAAAAAGGACACTTTGGTTTTCCTTATTACTCATTGTGCTATCTTTATATAGTTTGTTTAATGTTATTGTTAAAAAGGTATTCTTTATTTATATATTTTGAATATATGTATATGTTCTCTGTGTGTTGTGGAGAGAGCTAACACATTTCATTTTGCAAACCTGTTGTTCAACTGAACTGTTTGTTGGATACATTTGAATTTGAATCAATTTGCTGAGAAAATAATAATCATACATATTTAATGAAAATATTGAAAAAGTGACAGCTCTATTATACAGAAGCAAACGAACATTACACCTGTTTCATTACACTGTGTCGAGGATGCAAATCTGTTGAATTCAATAAGGGCATGCAGTCTGTGCTAGAGACACATTTGTTTTCTTTGCATTCACATTTTAGTTACTCCACAAAAACAGGATTTAATTCGAACTTTTTACTTTGAAAGTTGTAAGATAATTTTCTATCCCACACAAATTATTGATAGCCCACCTCTAAGTGCTATCATGCTAGCATCATTAATGAGATGTCTTATTCATATTGTAGCCCATACTCCTAATGCTCATTGTAATACTGTGGAAATTAAAAGTAGTGACTTACACAGCTCTAAATTTGCCAGGGACAGAAATGATCATATTGAGCAATAAAGTGACTAAAATAAGTCTTATTCTAAACAGTTGCACTTGTTGCACACAGGCCTCGGTGACAGGGGTCTTACCGAAGCTTCCAGCAGCAGCGGTGTGTGTCTCCGCGGAGTGTGTGAGCAGGATGTTCCTCTGTGATGAGGATAAACTCTCGCTGGAGGAAGAAGTTGAAGTTGCATTGTTTTCAATGCTGCTGAGTTCATCTGTGGCGGGTGAAGAGTAAAATCCCGCCGTTACCGGGTCTGTGATGTTGTTACTGGGGGTCCCTGCCCCGAGGGGCCCCGGTAGACCCAGCAGCAGGACCGACAGAGACACGCCGAGGACGTGATTCAAAAACCACGTTTCCATGATTTTCAAGACCCCAAAACGGTCGCCGAAAGTTTCCGTAAAGTCGAGTAGAGGCCGGGGAGTCTCCCGGGGAAACCATGGGAGGAGCGCTGCAGCGTTTAGTGAAGGTTCATAAGAATTAATTAATCCTGGAGCAGGTCCGGAGGTTATCCGCTGCTCGGACGGCGGGGAACGGAAGATAAGAGAGCCGAGGAGCAGCCTGTTATCAGGCGGAGGAGCCGGACTCCTCCTCCTGCACAACACACACGCGGGCACCAAAACACATGCACGCGCAAACCACTGTGGTGTTTTACTCTGGCTGCATCTGCTGCCTTCAGGTGTTGTCGGTTTGTTTGTTTTCAGACATGAGAGCATGTTGCTTTAGAGTTTTAAGACCAATAATGCTATCGTCTCTATTACAATTACTGCTGGGAAATAATAAATCTGTCTCCAACACATTCCACTGAAAATCATCCCGAATGTCTGTTTTTGAATCATGCTGTTAAAGTTCATCTTTTAGCTGGAGCCATGCTGTTCTAAAAGCCTGACTGTTATAGGATATGGTGTTCTGGCTTGGATCAGTGAAAAGTCATGACCAATTACAGTATGCTGGGGTAAAATCCATATAATAAACATGGTCCAACTCATTGGCCCTCTCATCCAGAGGTGTCTCCTTCATGACATTAAGAAGTCTTTACCACCACTATAGTCCTCTGCAGACCAGGTAATGATGAGGAAAGGTATTCTCTTTACAGAGAGCCATGTGTCTCTCAGCAGGTTGCACCTGATACCAAAATGCGGAGAGGAAGTGGTTTTCACAGCTTTGTTGTCAAGCTGCTAACAGTGCAACAGTTCAAAACAAATTCACCCAAATAACACCACCTTATGTATTATGACATACTGTATATTCATCATGTTTTACAAAATGCATTTAACTTCTGGTATAACCTTTATAAATACAGTCTAGGTATAACACAGCAGATCAGACACTCTTCCTCTTCCTTGAATATCTCTAAATGTAAATATTATTTTTTCATAGGATGGCTGAGATTTATTCGGCGTGTTCCTCAAGTGGTTCACTTCGATGTTAAATATATTCAGGGATACATTAAAACACACAAAAATGCACATGGTTTTGAGATTAAAGCGTGAATCTTGTAATACAGGACCTTTCTTGTCCACTGCTTTGATTTTCATCAGATTTATTTGCAACGACCCAAAGTCCACGTCTGAAAGGTGATGTCAACTAGTAAAGGCAAACAAAAAACGACTAGGAAATATTGTACACATGCAGAATGAACTCATTTTAATGAAACCTTTGTAACATGTGTGTACGTACGCTGCATGTGGCCCACACGGATTGAGGCAGGAAATGTGGTTTCAGGCTTACAGCTACATGAAACAGAGGCAGAGTTAAGTCAGTCAGTCAGTGGGCTGGTGGTTGCACCATTGTCTCGGTTCTTATGAAGGACGATTGGTGGTATCGGTGACGAGAGGCAAAGTCTGCATTTTCCTCCGTCAGCTGCTTGGTTTTCAGCCCGACCCCGGACAGAGAGGGGGTGACTACGATCTCATCCTGAGGGGACACTTTCCCCCTGAAGACAGGGAGAGAAATAGGCTTTAGGGACATAGGAAATTATGCATAACTGGAAAAATATGTAGATCACATTTCTTAGTAATACAACAATTCATTGATTAAAGGTGGGGTAGGTAAGTTTGAGAAACCGGCTCGAGATACACTTTTTGTTATATTCCATGGAATGCTCTTAACATCCCGATAGCAATGAATATCTTAAGTGCTTTGACAAAAAATCCATAAAAAAAGTCATCTGTGGAAGCCGTAGTATTGTAAAAAGCACGACCAATCATTTTAGCCGGCCCGGCTAAAATAACTGGATGGCCTACCTGCCTGTCAGCCTTCCATCTGTGCACAAACTTATCTTGTGCCCTCATTGGTCATGTGCGTGTTGGAAGAGGGGCCCTGTAAGGAAGTGGCAGATTTTTTCCGGCTGTGTATTTTCAAATTCTAGCGCACTCGAGCTGGTTTCTCCAAAATGACCTACCCCACCTTTAAGTCAGGCATTTACTTTTTATTTAGTTCCTTTATAAATGATCTGGACAGATAACTTAGACATTCTTATGATGAATTGCATCGTCTTATTTGTCCTACAAGCAGTCATTCTTATAACGGGGGGTTACGTATTGTAACCCTAGTTATATAAGCACAGGCAGAGCCCTCTACCGGACTGTATGGGTACTACTCTCTATCATGCTATGCGTGCATTCACCTACTGAGTTGCATAAACGTAGCCGGCCAATCAGGGCGAGCCTACCTGAATGCACGCGCAGGCCCCTGTCGTCCAACAACATCGACCCATCACACTGCCCCTGACCGTTTTTTGGCTAATATCCACCGCACCCCCACTTCGGTTGTAACCATGGAGAAGTCGGGGCCGCAGCTTGGATAAGGCACACGCTTACCTCGTGTAGAGTGTGCATGGACGATAGTGGGGAGAGTCCTCCATCCCTGTATGGGACTTACTGCGCACCATGTTTCCCGGGTCCCTAAGGAGCATGGGAACAAACATAAGCGCATTATGTCCAGGGGGGGTCAGATACCTACTGACCCACAGCCCCCCCCCTCTCACCAGTCATGTGTTACCCCGGCAAGCACAGACGATGAGAAGGAGCCAGACATGTCCAAAAGATAAAACTTTATGAAGGGGCCTGGCGTAGACCAAGACGCCGCCGTGCATATATCTTCTACACTCACGCCGCTGAATAAGGCTGTTTGACACAGCCACAGCCCGTGTAGAGTGTGCACGGACCCCAGTGGCTCTCCCCGCCCGTCCATAGGCATGTGTAATGCACTCGCAGAGCCATCCTGTCAGGCGCCTCTTGGAGAGAGCTTTTCCAGCCACACCATCCCCAAAGCACACAAACAGCTGTTCAGTGCGCCTAATGGCAGCCGTGCGCTCTACATACATTACATTACATTACATTACATTACATTACATTACATTGCATTTAGCTGACGCTTTTATCCAAAGCGACTTACAGCCAACACATTTCAAGTGCTACTCAACTGGCTTTAGATAAGACAGTCCTTTATTAGTATACAAGTGCTTTGTTAGTAATTCTATCGCTCGAAGTGGAGTCGAAAGAGATGAGTTTTCAGTCTGCGCCGGAAGATGTGTAGGCTTTCTGCTGTCCTGATGTCAATGGGGAGCTCATTCCACCATTTTGGAGCCAGGATAGCAAACCGACGTGTTTTTGCTGATGGGAACTTGGGTCCCCCTCGCAGTGAAGGTGCAGCGAGCCGTTTGGCTGATGCAGAGCGGAGTGCACGTGCTGGGGTGTACAGTTTAACCACGTCCTGGATGTAGGAAGGGCCAGATCCATTCACAGCATGGTACGCTAGTACCAGTGTCTTGAAGTGGATTCTAGCAGTTACTGAAAGCCAGTGAAGGGAGCGGAGGAGCGGTGTGGTGTGGGAACATTTTGGAAGGTTGAAGACCAGACGAGCCGCTGCATTCTGGATGAGCTGCAGAGGTCGGATGGCACATGCAGGTAGACCAGCCAGGAGGGAGTTGCAGTAGTCTAGGCGTGAGATGACGAGAGCCTGGACCAGAAGTTGTGTCGCTTTCTGGGTCAGGAGGGGACGTATCCTTCTGATGTTGTAAAGAGTGTATCTGCAGCAGCGGGTTGTAGCAGCGATGTTTGCAGTGAAGGACAGGTTGTTATCTAGGATCACACCCAGATTCCTTGCAGTCTGAGTCGGGGAAACAACAGAGGTGCCGATGTTGATTGTTAGGTCAAGAGTGGGACAATCTTTTCCCGGAAGGAAAAGCAGTTCAGTCTTGTCAAGGTTGAGCTTGAGGTGGTGAGCAGACATCCACTGAGAGATGTCTGCTAGAGAAGCAGAGATGCGTGCGACGACCTGGGTCTCTGAGCGGGGAAAGGACAGAATTAAATTGGGTGTCATCAGCGTAGCAGTGGTATGAAAAACCATGCGGGCTAATGACTGATCTGAGCGAGTTTGTGTACAAAGAGAAGAGGAGGGGACCAAGAACAGAGCCCTGAGGGACCCCTGTAGTTCATTGACAAGGGTCGGACTCAGACCCTCTCCAAGTTACCTTATAGGTGGTCTTTGAGGTATGAGGTGAGGAGGGAAAGTGCAGAGCCTGAAACTCCAAATTCTTGGAGAGTGCAAAGGAGGATCTGATGGTTCACCGTGTCGAATGCAGCAGACAGGTCCAAAAGGATGATGACAGAGGAGAGGGAGGCTGCTTTAGCAGTGTGCAGTTCCTCAGAGACAGCGAGGAGAGCAGTTTCTGTGGAGTGACCTGCCTTGAAACCAGACTGGTGCGGATCCAGAAGGTTGTTCTGATGGAGATAACAGGAGAGTTGTTTAAAGACAGCGCGTTCAAGTGTTTTAGACAGGAACGGGAGGAGAGAGACAGGCCTGTAGTTTATAACATCAGACGGGTTGAGAGTGGGTTTCTTTAGGAGAGGGTTTACTCTTGCCTCCTTGAGACTGTTTGGAAAGTGACCAGAAGTTAGAGAAGTGTTGATGAAATGGGTGAGAAACGGTAGAATATCAGGAGCGATAGTCTGAAGGAGGTTTGAGGGGATAGGGTCCAGAGGACAAGTGGTAGGACGGGCAGAGGTAATGAGGGTAAGAACCTCACTTGGAGAGAGAGGGGAAAATTAGGTTAGTGTGTGGGTGAACGGTGGGTCTGGTGACCCAGTGGTGAGTAAAGGTGAGTCAGAAAAAGAAGAACGAATATCATCAACCTTTTTTTCAAAGTACTTAACAAAGTCGCTTGACAGAAGGGAGGAGGGGGAAGGGGCTTTGCGCGCTAGCGCACGCACTGGGCAGAGGAGGTGCAATTTAGCCTCCCTGGTCCCAATATGGGGTGGAAGATTAAAGCCACCTAACTGAATAGCCCTGGACCTGAACAAACTCCTTAGGCTCTTGGGAGCAAAGGAGGGGTTCGGCCTGAGTGTCGCCCCGCTACGGTCACACCGGATCAAAAGACAACTTGGGTGCACCGACAGAGCGGTCAGCTCGGACACTCTCTTGGCAGAAGTCAAGGCAAGTAGCAACGCTGTGTTCCATGACAGTGCTTTCAGGGAGGAGAGCTCCAGAGGCTCAAATGGTTCTGTGACCAGAGCCTCGAGCACCAACGGCAGGTCCCATTGCGGGGAGGAGGCATGCACTACTGGGCGCTGCCTCCTGACCCCCTGCAAAAACCGCGACATAAGCGGCTGACCTGCCTCCAAATCCCTCATGGCAGGACGAAATGGCTGCTGCATAACCTTAATTGTGGAATGAGCCAGCCCCCTGTCCACCAGTATCTGTAAGTAGGAAAGAATAGAGCCCAACGTACATGAGGCTCTAGACTCCTTCCTTCACACCATCGCCGGAAACCCGCCCACTTTGGCCTGTAACAGGCTGTGGTGGATCCTGCTCCGCCCAACCTGCTGCCTGTGGGAGCAAATGGGCCGCCAGGCTTTCATCGAGGGGGGGCACACCGGGACACGCTGTGTCCGTGCGGTCCTGCACCCTGAGCAAATCCGCCATGCCAGCCACCGGAGCCCTCGTCCTCAGAGGGTGCCGCCACGTCGCCTCCACACACTGCCAGATATCTGGCAACGGGGGCGAAACAAAGGCCGGCTGGGCTGGCTGAACCGGGCCATAAAACCCCTGACGGAGGCGGCTCACCGGTTTGGGTGGTAGCGGAGGGGGGAGCGGTAGACCCACACGCTCCGCCGCCATGGCCATCACCAGCGGGAAATCCTGACGGGCAGATCTGCGCGGTGGACCCTCGTGGACGCCGGACCCAGAAGCGCCCGACAACGAGAAGTCCTCGTCTTCTTCCTCCTCGACAAACGGGGCCGCCCGGACCGTCGGAATGGCGAACCAGGATGGCACCTCCTCGGCCACCTCCTGGTCCTCCATTTCGACCACCTCGAGCTCCTCCTGGTCCTGCGCCTCGTCCGGCGACACATAATGCGCCTGGAAGTGTTCCAGGCGATGTTGGCGTCTGAGCCGCGGGAGTGCACGACAGGCACTGCAGGACGGAGAATGTTTGCTGCCCTCCACCGCGTGGTCAGGCCCCAAACACTCTAAGCACAAGCGGTGGGGATCAGCGCCCGCAATTAAGCCCGGGCATGTAGGGCAAGGCCGATGTTTGAGGAGTGGTGAGTCCATTCTTTCACTTTCTTCTATCTATCTTCTCACCTTTAGCTTCAGTTGTTGCTGCTCGCTGAAGAGAAAAAGGATGATGGTCGGAGGGCGTAGCCGCCTTATATACTGTGGGCCTGCGCGCGCATTCAGGTAGGTTTGCCCCGATTGGCCGGCTACGTTTACGCAACTCAGTAGGTGAATGGACACATAGTATGATAGAGAGTGGTACCCATAGAGTCCAGTAGGGGGGCGGAGCCTGTGTGAGATATAACTTGATTCTTTACTGATCATTATGTATCATAGCAACCACACAATACCTGCAAATGCTTTTCAACGATGACTTGAGCCACACGAAAAAGCTGAATCGAGCTGCAATACCTGAAAATAAATCAAAATCAAAACTTATCTGGAGAAATTAGCTCAATGGATTGGTTATTTCAAAAACTAGCCTCAGTTAAACCATTAAAAACACATGCAATCACAGTGATATATTTACATTTTCTGAGTTTATTGTGTCATAATTTGAAGTTGTAACAGTGCACAGAGGAGTGGTTATGCACAGCATCACATTGACCACCTGTGGGACAAGTGTTTAACACTTGCGGAGCTTGTGCTCAGAAATGTTGTGAGTCAGACAGCCAAGACACGCTGCACTGTGGTGAGTTTATTGCACAGATGCTGCTGGGTGTCTCATCCAGCTATTCTAGAAATCCTAAGCCACAACAGCTGCCAGCCTGCCAGGCAAAAAGAGTGAAAGTGATACTCCCAGAAAAGTGCCAGTGAACGTTACCAGGTCACATTACAAATGAGCGCGGGGTGACACATGTAAATGCTTAAAAAGGTAAATAGCACATCAAGAGGTCTATTGTTGAACATAATGGGATAATCTAGAGCTAAATATATACATACAAACAACAAAAAAAGAGGAGTAAAAGTAGCCCCCGACTTGTTTTATTTTTTGAAAGTAGCTCTCATCCTAAAAAAGGTTGGTGACCCCTGATCTAGATGATGTAAAAATCGTGATTCAGCTCTTTTTTTTTTTACATCTACAGACTACTCATACTTTTATACAAGTCCTAAGACATTCAAATATTTAGAAAGCTATTCTTTTTTTTTTAAATTGCTTTCATTATCTGAGGTTATATTGTCAGTTAAAAGAATATCCTAGTTTTCCTTAGAAAAACAAATGCTAGCCTTTACAATACATTTAACTCGATTGTATTTCTACAATTGGAACAGGCATATGTATTGGCTCTGGTCTGTGTAAGTTCATTGATTGCATCATATCAAACCCGAGCTACGCTGACTGCCACAATCTATCAGACACAATCTATCAGACACAAAATTGACTAGGCCACAAGAGCAGGCTAACATTAGCTATTTGTGCAAAGTTAAGTGCTGCCTGGTATACAGTGTCAAAAAGCTTTATTAAAATCAATGTTCTATTGAAGTCTGGCATACAAAGCTGGAAAATGCTGCACATGTGCAGGTGGTTTATACGAAAAAGACACAGGAAATCCCCACAATATGTTAGTACAGCATTTCATCATCTTGTATTTTCCATCCATATTGCATATGCTTTTTATCTGGGACAGTCCTGTCCAAATCAGGACACATGGTCTCCATGACAGGACCTCTCATCAAGTTAAGCTAAATGTGTCTCAACAGGAAATGAACTGATGGAAATCACCTATAGGTAGTCCAGGACTCACTTTCCCGATGTAGAAGAAGAGCAGCAAGGCTAAGACTATGTTTGCTAAGGCATAAGCCCATTGAATAACAAACATAATCAATATGGAGCTCAATGCCTGAAAGAAAAAACATATAATAACTTAATAATTAATATGATCTTATATTATACCATAACAACAAATGAAAAAAGGTGTTTACGAACCCCGATTAGAGCGACCCAGTGGTTGCAGAATTTCGCATATAACGAATCCTGCATGGGTTTGATTTCAACGCTCAGCTGCTCCGCTTTACCTCCGGTAACTGAAAGATTAAATATAGGGTCAGGTTGCTTAAAACACACAAGACAAACACTGAACTCTATGAGCTGATCACCTGGGCTGTGATGGGGAGGGTCACCAGCTGACTCCTGTGGGTCTTCTCCAGCCTCCTCACGTGGAGCAGAACTCATCTCCTGTACGTTCTCCTCAGGGAACATATTCCTGGTTAGGTCCAAGCCAAAGCTGTCCATCAGCATCTGCTTAGGAGTGACTTGAGTTTTTCTGCCTTTGCATCTACTGCTCAGCTCTTGCATGGAGGAGGTCTTCTCAGCCCCAGCATCAACATTTGACACAGGGGGAAATATCTGGTCCATGTCCTTGGTAAACTCCAGCAGAGTGCCTTTCATTCGCTGCGGACTCTCCCCTCCACCCCCATAGCTCGGAAGAGATTCCTTGATCAGAGGCCTGGAGCTCTGCCTGGTTGACCCACGCCGGTATCTTTTGGCGGGGGCTATGGTATCCCTCTTCTCTTTACTCTGAAGCTGGCAGGTCATGGCCACACTGAAGTAGGAGTAGTCGATGAAGCTGTAGGTGAGCATGAAGTTTATGGAGACGATCGGAGCCAGCACGTTGACCTGACCGATGAAAATGAAGGCCATGGTGAGCAGACTGGTCAGACAGATACCAGCCACGGGAGTCCTGTTAGGGCCTTTCTGTGAGAGAGAGAGAGGGACACAACAATGATGTCAAAATCAATGAAAAAACGCAATAATAGAAACAAGAAATGTGGGGAAATGTAATGTAAACTGAGTGTCCAATGGTGGTCTGGTGGGACAGGAATAGGATTATAAGATGAGAAAATAGTTTCCTTTAGGCTTTAATTGTATTTCTGCTGTTTGTATTATTATAATGTTTTCATTATTTTGTGGTGCCTTATTTATGCATGTTAAGGAAACTTTGTGTCACATTCGGTACATAGGATATCGTCTTAATTCTCCAGATTGAGACACTGTAGTATTATAACTTCAACCTTTTGCCCAAAAACACTTAAGTATAGGCATACTAGGGACAAACAGCCACCTAGAGGGACATCTGAACTTAAAGTTATATTTGAGAAATATAAAACCAAACCAGTAGAGTTTAGTAATTGTTTTAACATGTGATTTGCTAACCAGCTTGCTTTTACATCCCAGGTCCTAACACACAGTTGAAGGAGCACTGCTGTGCGCCTGGCGGGCCTCCAGAGCACACAGCGGAGCTGGGCCCTGCCCGCCGCCCTTCCTGCGTTTGTTCTGAAGCTTTGATTTGGGCCAAGATGTCTAGGGCCTCATTCCAGCCCGCTGAGAGAGGTCAGACACTGCTGCCACCCAGGGAAGTCTGAGGAAAACTGGGGTGGACGGGGTCAGGATGTCAACGTGACCGAGAGTGTGTGCGAGTGTGTGTTGTGTAACAGAAGTAAGTCTCGACTATTGGCTGTTATGCAGTCAGTAAACTCACTTCTATGGAGTGGAGTCTGCACTCTATAGTTAGGCAGTCCTGTCACTGTTTCCTGTTGAGTACACCCACCACACCCCCCTGCACATCCAGACTACACACACTCATTAGCAGTGGTGGAGGAGGTACACAGATCCTCTACTTACTCTAAGTGTGTGTACTAATACTAGACTTATATACTAAAGTACAAATTACATGTCTGCATTGTTAAATTAAGTATAATCAGGAAATTAAATGTACTTAGAAATATACTTTTAAAACATTCAAGTATTATAAGATCAATAAATGCACTTTGACGATTAAATTATATTGTTTTAAAAGGCTGTGCAGCCATCAATCTTCTTCAAGCGTGGCAGTGTGCATCTATACTTTTGAGAGACACTGCTTCACATAGATTTCATGACTTCATGACTCTAAAACTAGGAAAATCTCACTATCCAAAATAACTGAATGCAGAGGCATGAATAAAAGCATCTATGAGTTTGCTTAACAATGGCATAGTTATAATCATTAATAGCACATTGTACCATTCCTTTATTAGTTGGTCTTTGTTTTCCGATCTAATGCATCGCAGGCCACTTAGACTTTTGGCCTATTATGTGTGCAAAGTAGTGCTACGACTAATATGTCACTCAGGTAAGAAAATGTCCAAATTCCAGCCAGACACTACAGGCAAGAACATCACCTTTTCAATGCTATTCACCTGTGATGTCTCCCCTTAGAAGTGTGGGTTTATGCTGATGTAGGAGCTGCTTACTTCGATCATCCCTTTACTGCAATCATGTAAACAGCTAACGTAAATGTGACAATTTAAAAAGGTAACGTTTTGCTTCAAATAAGTAAACTTAATGGTGCATATAAGTACGCTCTCACTCAGGGTGACTGTAGCTTATATCTTTCACTGTACTGTTCATGTCCAGACATCCCTCCCTTTATGGTTCCATCCATCCATCCATCCATCCACCTACCCCTCTTCCCAGGAAGGCCAGAGCGGGGATGACCCTCTCCTGGGCGATGCACTGGAGGATCCTGGGTGCTGCGTACAGGCCGCCCATGCAGGAAGCCAGGGAGGAGATGTAGAGGCCCAGCAGAAAGAGGAAGCCCACCAAGGAGACCTGGAGGAAGAAGGAAAACAAACAGAGGGTGGAAGAGGATGGGGTGGGGTCGAGAGCTCACAACAGCTACACCCAGTTCGGTTCCGCTGCAGCCAGCCCCTTGTGAAAACAATGAGAGCTAACCACTGATGAAGAAGTCAAGGATGTTAAAAAGAGTACGTGATGGGTTAAAGTTAAATAAAGTATTATTGGGAGAGGGAGTTTGTACACAACAACCTTTGATCTAGAGTCTACTAAACTCTGGTAATGTGAATGTAAATAATACTATTTTGCGCTGAATCACACGTCATACATTTTGACTTGTCTGTTGATGATTATCATTCCTATAATCAGCCTTGAGGCTTCACCACCACTAACTGGCCTGCTGTGAAGCTGTGCACTCTAATCAGCAGTGGGACATTCTAAGTATGTTCCTAACAGTGTTAGGAAAAGTGCACAGTGTGAAGTGGACTGTGTGTTAGTATGTTTCCGACATTGGACTACTTGTCAGATTGTGAAAGCACTTAAGTGCTCAAGGCAACAAGTGGGGGTATTGGGACGGGCAAAGTATTTTTCATATACTTTAACCTGGGTTTTCAGTTTGAGTCAAGAACATTCATTTAGTCAGAACCTGAACTATAACCACGTCAACAAAGTGAGGCATCGTGGGGAATCCCCTCACCTCAGCCCTTCTGATGAGAGCGCCTCTCTGACGGGGCAGAATGGAAACAAAGACTGTGGGGGGGGGGGGGGGGGGGTTACCTTTTCTGCTATCAAGAAGTCATAGCGCAGAGCTTCTCTGGTGCAGATGGCCCCCAGAAGGAAGACAAAGACCAGATACAGGAACCACCTGTGGGTCAGCAACAGTACATCACACAGGATTATTAACCACAGCGGCTCTCTCACTATTAATAGAGGGATTGTGTAATCAAGCAGTGTGTGATAGGGCGCACGCTTGATCTCTCCAGTGGATATGGAAAAAATGCCCCTTTTTGATAGAAGATACCACAGAAAGTGATCTGAGAGAAACATTTGGAAAGTACCACCTAGGATGATTCATACCTTGAGGAATAGACTCCACAAATTAAAACTATCATTGTAGTATGACATGAAGTTAAAATTAATTCTGTAAGATAACCATTTTTATGTCGTGACATGTTGATCAACAGCTTCACATTTTGCCACAGCTTTTCTCTGTAGCTCAGTGTTGATGATTCTATAGTTTTCAGTCTGTGCACTTAGTGGTGCTAATTTTACAATAATAAAATGCACCACAAAGTGTGCGTACGCGTGTGTGTGTGTGTGTGTGTGTGTGTGTGTGTGTGTGTGTGTGTGTGTGTGTGTGTGTGTGTGGTCCTACGAGGTGAAGACAGCTGCCAGTGTTCCCACAGGGATGTTGTGTTCAGGACGCTGAAGGTCTGAGCTCATGTTGAAACCTGCCATGACCCCTACAGACGCACACACACAAACCACAAACATGAATAACACATACTGTACAATACAAATGTATTTTCACACTGCCTTTAGTTGCAAAACAAATGAAAAGTGGGACCGATTCTTGACTGTCAAAGGTCAAATAATGTGTTTCTTATACATACTGCACATATACCATGCAAAGAGTAAGTGTGTTACTGCAAGTTTTCACAATATTAGATTAAAAAGAGATGATGGGGTCAGCCTCACCTGTAGCAGCAGGGAAGAAGACCCCAAACACGGTGAAGAAGCTTTCTCCTGAGGTGTAGTCTGGCAGTGTGTTGCTGCTGAGCAGCCAGGGTGAATAACCAACGAAACCATGTTCTGAGGAAGAAGACAACACACAAATACTGTAAATACTGAATCTTTACTGGATTAACTGTCCAAGGTATCAACAGTACACATTTGTTAACAGAAGACATCATGTCCTTTTAAGTAACTTGTTTGATTGATCTTGAAATTAACTAGCTAATGGGCATGATATATTTTCTATAAATCGAAAAGCTTTTGGTTTTTAAACTTTTCTTGAATTCATATACATGACAGAAGATCTTTTTTAATAATGTCCCAAAAATACCTTGAATGCATCCACAAATTGCAGATGGTCCAGTCTCATCTGCAATATCGGCCATATATGATTTAATTGTTAAGACTGAATGCTTTAGATTTAACATAACATTCTGATAAGACAAAGGACAAACAGACAAAAAACATAACTCCCCAAATGGCCAGTGTTATAGGCTGCATGCGGGACGCTGTATTGCAACCTGCAGCCACAGTATGATTTAACACTGATTTAAAAGTTATCATTATTGTGGTGTTTTTATTTGCTTGATTTCATTTTCTTCCTTGTTAAGTGATTAATGGTGAGTTTTTGCACTGCAATTCTTGGAAAAGTTGAAACTGAGTGGAAATGTAAACACATCATGTCTGCACTGGGGATTTTCCCAGGAAAGACCTACAGTATCAGACACAACGATTTTAAAACCATATCTATGATAGGTTCTTAAAAATATTGCATTTTGCAAGTATTAGTTAGAGGTTTTATAATTGAAACTTCATGTTTATGTTCATATTTAACTTTTTATACTCCCATAAATGTGGTGCAGCACTACCTGATCTCAGATTTTGTGACTTTAATTTGAAGCCTAAAGCATGTATTTTTAACAATAGGTAGTTTGACACTTGTGAAAGTATGCAGCCTAAGTCATGGTCAGTGAGTTCAGTGTCAGGTCTTTGTTTGTCGAACGTGCAGGAGGAGATTGTTCTGCATTGCGGGGGCCATTTAAACCACACGGGCTGAAGGGCAGGCCCATGTTACAACACCGGACATTTCCCCCTTGGTTATCTTGCGATGGGAAAGAATGTGTTCTCTCGGATTAATGACATGTTTATCCAAAAGGAAGTCGCCACCCTTTTCAGAAGCTCAGCGGCTTCCAAGTTTGTGTAAAAGAATGAGAGTGAGCAAGAGAGGGAGACAGAGAGAAGAGAGAGACTTGTTTTTCTTTTGTTTAACACAAAAGCTAAAAGCATAAGGTCTGAACAAATCACTAACTACAAATGCACATGTTCAGCAGGAGAAGAATTTAAGGAGGCCGTACAAACCGACATCAAATGGAACAAGTTGCCCAGACTCGTGTTCACCCTGTGACCCTGTGAGACCGCCCTCTGTCCAAACAGCCAGAACAGATCCAGGGCACTCAGGGTCCAAGTCTGCATCATGGGCTCCCCACCCATATTACAACATGCACTCCAGCATCCAACCATGCTTAACTCTAACTGCTCAGTTGAGTTTGTTAGAAAACTATGAACACAAAATGCATTGCTTGGATACACTTCCAGAGTATAAACAAACTTGTTTTTCACAAACTTTGGTGCAAGTTATTTAAAATCATACAGCAAAACAAAATGCCAACTAACATGTAGTAGACTGTAAATTCTACATGGTTAATCACATTGTTAAAACTGATCATGGAGAAAAGCACTGTTGGAAACAAAACAAAAGCATTGCCTTGGTCGGTGTACAAACAGCAGAATATATGTAGATGGCAGTGTACATATATTTTGCACAGCAACCATTGTTTTTTTTGTTTATTTCAATGTCTGTAAGTTTATGGTAATTTGATGAAGGATATGGCAGGATACAGCCTCACTGAGATGGTTGGAAAAACTGTAAAACAAACAGCTATTAGGGATTTCACTTTTTATATCTTATATTATAAGACAACTACCAGTGATGTGGGCCGACCTTAGTATGAATAAAAAACATCAGTCTGCTCTAGGGAGGCCTACAGAGCAATAAAGATTTCAGAAAGCTGTGGTGACAGCAATCATATTACAGTATCATATTGTCTGAGGAACAAGTGTATATGTGGAGTGGGGCTCCTCTCTGAACTCAGCATTCCTCTGATGCAGACAGGAATGTGTAGTCAGATTTCACGAGGCCTCTCCCACACTGACCAGTATAAAGTGTTGTGCACGGAGCACAGAGGTGGGGCAGGTCCCACTGGGATGATTGAGAGCTATATATTATAGTGTTGGATGGTGGGGAGATGGTGTGGCGCTCTCTGGAGGAGCAACAGGCCTCAGATCTCAGTTCCGGCCTTCTCTCCTTGTCATTTTCCAAAAATGTGGGTGAGCCTGGTTAACACCCTAAACCCCAGATCATAGCAGCACATTACGACTTCCTGTTCTGTTGGGAATAGGCTGCAACTAAAGGGACTGGGTGAGGTTGGATTGCATGTGTGCACCACATTCAGAAGGATTTGTGGTTGAGTTATTCTGCTGCAGAGACAATGTGTTGGCAGTGTAACTAACCAAACTAAATCATTTACGACACAAATACTACAATTGTGAAATGAATTCTCCTCCCATCAGGGATGATAAAGCACTATTTTTAAAGTCCACCTGTCTCAGTGCTGCAGGAAGGACTTGTCATTATCAGTCCCTTAACAGATCCTTAAGGCGGGGAAATGTGGAAGCGAGGTCAGCCTACAGGTTAAAGTTCATGTTCATACAACACCTCTAAAGACTTCTACACATGAGTCGTCAGCTTCACATGTTCAAAAATAATGGCCAAGAGCTTTTGACAGAATAAGGTAGAGGTCTACTGGTTGAAATATCACGCCCATCCAAATAACAAAAATGTTGATTTTTCTAGCTGTTGATGCTCACAAACCCTAGTAATATAGTCTTTTCCTTCAAATGTATTTGCTGTTGATGTTCAAAAGCCACAAAATCAGGGAAATATAATCCTTGACACTCTAGATAAAGAAAATGTCTGTAAAATAAACACTAAAAAGGCCAGGGTGAAATCTTCAAGCACCTCATATTTGTCTGCCACAATCCCAACACTAAATGTATTATTTAAAAACAGAACATGTTCAAGTTAAGGAAGCTGAAACCACTGAAGGTTTTGGCTGTTTGCTTGAAAAACACCCTTAAACCATTAATCTATTAATTGTCAAATCATAAAGCCATTAATTATACTATTTCAGATCATGAACACAGACATTTTTTTAAAGCAACATTTGCAAACAAGCCAGTATCCCAGCGTACTGTTGATATATAATGTCAATTGGAAAACATGAAATGAATGGGAGTGATGTACCACAGTGAACATAAGTGGACGTCTTATCAAACTGTGACCACATGATTTTGGTGGTGGCTCCTTTTCTTCAGGACGGGCCTCCAGATTCAGTGAGGGCAGACAATCTGGGCTGTTTCATCCAGCTAGGGGACCTGCTGGTGCTCTGCCAGCCATGAGGTCACCACAACTCACACAGAAGCTCTTAATTGGAAAAACCTGGAAAAACCATTATGCCTGCTACTCCCTCAAAACTTCTGCAAACCAGCCTACTGTAATATGAAGACGGCTGGAGGTTGGGAGTGGTGGACAAGTTCAGGTTAGGGGTCCTTGTGGTTTGCTATAGGAAAAGGCAAAAAAATAGGACTATTTTTTTTAATAGTGTGCACTTTAGGTTACCTTTTTCAGTTTCTGCTTGTATCCAAGTAATAGGGTCTATTTGATGTCCTATTCATAAAAAAAAAAACAGGATTGACTCCTGGAACACTTTTCTCTTCCCACTGGACAGGACGTTGATAATCAGTGAGAACAGGAAATGTGGGGAAGGACTTCCTGACGGCCAGCAAAAGAATACAATCTACTCAAAAAGGCAACATTTCCTCACCACAAAAGACACACACACACACACACACACACACACACACACACACACACACACACACACAACACACACACACACACTACACACACACACACACATCACACACACACACACACACCACACACACACACACAGCACACACACACACACACACCACACACACACACACACACACACACCACACACACACACACACACACACACACACACACACACACACACACACACACAGCACACACACACACACACACACACACACACCACACACACACACTACACACACACACACACACACACACACACACACACACAACACACACACACACACACACACACACACACCACACACACACACACACTACCACACACACACACACATCACACACACACACACACACACACACACACACACTACACACACACACACACACACACACACACACACAACACACACACACACACACACACACACACACACACACACACACACACACACACACACACACACACACACACACACACACACACACACACACACACACACACACACACACACACACACACACACACACACACACACACACACACACACACACACAATTTTCTAACTAAAGCAAGAAGCCTCTGAAGGCAGGGAAAGTATCTTTGGAGAAAACGAGTAAACTGACAAAACTGGGAAAAATCTGTATCAAAAAGATTTGAACTCAAACACCATCCTCCTTAGAAAATGATAAATGATACTACAGCTACACCTGCTGGCCTCAACAGGTCACTGCCACTCACCACTCAAGTTAACAAACAGTCATTCCCCAATGTTTCCAGCAGGCTTTGGAGGTTGAGCAAAATTATCAACATCTCTCCATAATATGACTTAACTCATATTTTATCAAACAGTAAAAATGCTGTGGAAACTATAAAACAAGGAGCTACAGTAAGAGGAATTTGACATCAACTCAAAATATGCGTTTGAATTGATATGATTTTCATATTTTACTTATGTGTATGCTGTTCTTTCCAAAAAATTATTGCTAACCTGAATGTTTGTAGCCTTTGGAGCACTATTGTTTCTTCATCGCTCCCTATACAGACAATTCATCAACCTTTCTGCAGTAGACATTTATTTGTTATGCCAGAAAAACACAGTGGAACTAATAACATTAAACTTCCTAATTGACTTAAATAGCAATGTGTTTTCCCTGATATGGTAACTGCTGTTGAGATTTCTCAATGGTATTTTCTGATGACTTGGCTACTCGGTTAATGATGTTAAGATGTCCTGGAAGTGCTTCTGATTGTAAGTGTCTACTACATGATTAATTGTAGCATGGCTAAATAATGCTTCAAAGGCTCTTATATCAAAAATATTAGAAGACACAAAACATGGATACTGATTTAACCTTCTCACGATCCCTGTTAGCTTTTCACTTTACCCTTCTAATATGAATATATCCACATCTCTACCTGGGTCAAGGTGCGTGAAGGTGCCGATCACAAAGTCCAGTGTGGAGACGGCCAGCACGGCCAGCAGCAGCAGCTGGAGGCGAACGATCCACTTGACACCGGCCAGGTTGATTCCCAGCAGTGCCAGCAGCACTACCGCTGACATGCCGCGCACTGCCCACTGACTCTGCAGACCCAGCAGCTCCGCCACTGACTCGGAGAAACCTGTGATGTACATGGCTCCAGCTACGCACTGCAAGATGGGACGCAGCATGAGAGATAAGAGAACATAAGAACATGTATCACGGTCACCATCTAGGCTTTTCAAAATAGGACTAATAAAAACCAACACATGCTGGAAATGCAAGAAAGAGGCATTAAAAAGCAAAGATAAAAGTTACAGTGCAGTTTAAGATATGAATATATCAATTAAAAGCAGCGGCAAAAAGAAAAGTCTTCAGCCTGGATTTAAAAGTAGTAAGAGTTGCAGCGGACCTGCATGTTTCTGGTAGTTTGTTCCAGATATTTGGAGCATAATAACTGAACGCTGCTTTACCATGTTTAGTTCTGACTCTGGGGACAGAAAGCAGACCAGTCCCTGATGACCTGAGAGTTCTGGATGGTTCATAATTTAGCCTTAGGTCAGAAATGTATTTTGGGCCTAAACCACTCAAAGCTTTATAAACCAGCAGCAGTATTTTGAAATCAATTATTGACACACAGGAAGCCAGTGTAAAGACTTCAGAACAGGTGTGATGTGATCCACTTTCTTAGTGTGAGTGAGGACTGGAGCAGCGGCGTTCTGAATTAGCTGCAGCTTTCTAATAGATTTTTTAGTGAGACCTATAAAGACACCATTACAGTAGACAAGTCTACTGAAGATAAAAGGATGGACAAGTTTTTGCAAATCCTGCTGTGACATTAGTCTTTTTATCCTAGATATATTCTTTAGGTGATAGTAGGCTGATTTAGTAACTGTTTTAATGTGATTGTTGAAACTCAGGTCAGAGTCCATGACTATACCTGATTTCTGGCTCTATCTGTTGTTTTGAACATTGCAGACTGAAGCTCAGCACTAACTTTTATACGTTCTGCCTTGGCTCCAAAAACCATTACCTCAGTTTTATCTTTGTTTAATTGGAGAAAGTTCTGACACATCCAGTCATTGATTTGTTCAATGCACTTACTCAGTGTTTTAATTGGATCATAGTCTCCTGGTGAAATGGTTATGTACATTTGGGTGTCATCTGCTTAGCTATGGTAACTTATTTTGTTGTTTTTCATTATCTGAGCCAGTGGTAGCATGTAGATGTTAAAGAGAAGAGGCCCCAAGATGGAGCCTTGAGGAACCCCACATGTCATATTTGTCAACTCAGATTTGTATTTACCTATAGATACAAAGTTGTTTCTGTCCTTTAAGTAGGATTCAAACCAATTTAGAACTGTAGCCGAAAGTCCCACCCAGTCTTCCAGTCGGTCTAGTAATATGTTGTGGTCAACAGTGTCAAACGCAGCACTGAGATCTAATAATACTAACACTGAAGTTCTGCCACTGTCTGTGTTTAAGTGGATGTCATTGAAGACCTTTACAAGAGCAGTCTCAGTGCTGTGGTTTGGTCGAAAGCTTGACTGGAACACATCGAAACAGTTATTTAAATGCAAGAAGTTACTCAACTGTTGAAAAACTACTTTTTCAATGATTTTACCTAGAAATGGCAGGTTTGATATTGGCCTGTAATTGTTCATTACTGAAGCATCTAGATTATTATTTTTTACGAGCGGTTTAATGACTGCAGTTTTCAGGGCACCTGAGTGAAGAGACTTGTTTACTATACTGTATGAAGTAGATCTGAGGCCATGCAATGAAAAACATTTTTGAAAGATCCTGTTGGAATAATATCAAGGCAGCAGGAGGAAGATTTCAGAAGTTGTATAATGTCCTCTAGGTTTATCATTAATCTGATGGAATTGATTTTAAGTGGACACAGGGACAAAACATTTGCTGCACCTGATGCAGAGGCACTGACTGCTTGTCTAATTTTCTGAATTTTGTCAGTGAAGAAGGAGGCCAATTCATTGCCTCCTTTCTATCCAGGTGGATAGAAATTCAGTGGCTACTGACACGGAGGGGTTTGTTAGTCTGTCAACGGTAGCAAACAAGGCACGTGCGTTGTTTTTGTTTTTGGCAATGATGTCAGAGAAGAAAGACTGTCGTGCAATTTTCAATTATAAAAGCCAAGTCTCTCTTTATAGATTTAAAAATGAACCTGGAGATTTGTTTTTCACCACCTGCGTTCAGCTTTTTGACACTCTCTTTTTTCTGTTTTCACGCTCATGGCCTTTCTCCATGGAGATATTTTCTTGCCAGTCACTTCCTTTACCTTAGTTGGAGCAATGGCATCTATAATCTTTTTTATTTTTTAATTAAAATTATCTACTAGGTCATTTACTGAGATGTTAGCAGGGGCAAGTGTGGAAGAAAAATTCTGAGTAAACATTTCCCTAGTATTTTCAGTTAAATATCGCTTTGATGTTACCTCTTTTTGAACATTTTTGTGAACAGAAATAGAGCTCTCAAAGAAAACACTGGAATGATCAGAGAGTGCAACATCAGTCACCACAACAATATTTAGACCCTTTAAGATAATTAAGTCCAGAGTGTCCCCCTTATTGTGCGTGGGCTCCGTCACATGCTGAGTCAGTCCATAGTTATCAAGAACACAAAACAGTTCTTTAGCCCCTCTGTCCTGGAGGAACAGAGCTCGAGAGGAGCATTTCAGCTGAAGGGCCACATATTCAAAAGCAGCAAAGTTCCCATAAGATGTCTTCCTGCATTGAAGGGAATCATTGTACAAAATAGCAACTCCACCTCCTTTCTTATGCATTATTTCCTGACTCATAAAACTAAAGTTGGGAGGGGTTGATTCGATAAGAACAGCTGCACTGTTATTTTGTTCAATCCAAGTTTCTGTTAAAAACATAAAATCGAGATTGTGCTCAGTGATAAAATCATTGATTAAAAACGTTTTTCCGACCTGACATTTAATAAAGCTAGTTTAAGTTTGTTAAATACACTATCAGTCAGATTTTTTAAACTCACACAAACGTTTGAGCGCTTCCTGTTTCTAAGCTGATTCACCAATCTCAATCTATTACCTATCAACACAGATATCGGCAAAGCTACTGGCAGGCAGGGCCCCGGCATGTCCTGGAAAGAGTTGAGAGTGCCATACGCCCTTGAGCCTGGACCCAGCACATATCAGTAAGAGTTTGCTGCGTTTTGTACACACACATTCTTATCAGGCTTCGGTGACCGCAGATGGTATCTTGAAGGGGGGGGGAGGTGGTTGATGTAGGCACGGTGATGAAGACGGGGGAGATGGTGCGCGTCTCTGTGGGCGTTGTTGAGGGGCGGGGTTAAAGGACATGCTGCCAACCCTGCGTATTGCCTTAATGCGGTCATTGAACTCCAGGAAGGAATTGGTGCCATCCTGTATCTCCTTCATGTGTTCAGCAATCTCCAGGAGGGTGGGCGAGGGTGAGTAGAGAGAGCTGTGGGGTGAAGGAAGAGTATCCAAAGGTGATAAGGGGGGGTGAGGGGCGGTGGAGACTCCTCCATTTGTCTCATAGGTTTCTCATAATCAAGACATTCCTCAGGCGGGTGCAGTGATACATCTTCAAGGTTTTCTGCGCGATGTGTTGTGTCTTTCTCTTGTTTTGATTCCTCTTGTTGATTGTCCTTGGCAAAGGGAACAGATTGATGACGCAGGCAGTTGAATATGTTAGAGATAAACAATTTCACTCCTGACTTGTTCAGGCAAACTCCATCTGCCTTAAAAAGATGTCTGCGGTCCCAGAAAAAGTTAAAATTGTCAATAAAATGGACAGAATGGTCAGTACAGGCAGTTGAAAGCCACGTGTTCAGTGCAAACAATGTGCTGAATCTCTCCACTCCTCTTCTGACTGGCGGTAGAGGGCCACTGATGAACACCTCCGCATTTAGAGAGCTGACAGTTTCCAAAAAACATTTAAAGTCTTCTTTCAGCACTTCTGACTGTTCGTTTCACAACATCATTTGTTCCAATGTGCAGTACCACATTTTTTACAGTCGGATGTTCAGCCCCAATATGCAGGATCTTCTCAGACAAGTCAGAGACCATATCCTTGGGAAAACAGAGTACTTTGGTGTTGTTCTTACTACACAGACTTTGTACATCTCTTACAGCATAGTCACCCACAATCAGAGTTTCAGGCCCAGTCGTTAGCTTTCCCTCTAGCCTTTTACTTTTGGAGTAGCTATTGGTCCTTACCCTGCTGTGTGAAGAGGACAGGTTATCCAGGCCATTAGAAAGTGATCTCCGGTTCTGGGTCAGCGGAGTGTATCTGTTCTGTATTGGCACACTTGGTGGTTTAGGAGGATTGTTTGTAGTTCTCCCTTTAGCAGCTGTCCACGGCTGCTTCCTAGTATGAATAGGGGTTGAAGAGGCGCTCTTCCTGGGTGATAACAATGCAGGCCAGCCGGTCGCATCACAGATTTCAGAGCGCTGGGCTCTGCCTGTTATTCGTCCTCCCAAATACCATTGAAATGATTTACTCTTCGGCCTTGCACCCAGAGATTTCGAGGGAGGACTACCACTTGTAGATTTATTACCCGGTACACAGCCCTCCTGTTCCTTGGAATCCTTGTAGCTGCTAACTAGCTGTGAGTTAGCATGCCCTTTTCCATTCTTTTGCAACACTGGTAAAGGGTGTCATTCCAACATAGTTCATTCACTTCCACGTTAAATTCCAACCGCTGCATTTTCATTTCCAACACAGCCATCTTCTGTAGAAGTTTGTGGAAGTCATCTGTAGAGAACGGAGGCATTTTGCTGCCAACTAGCTAAATAGCATGCAGTACCAGGCTTTAGCTGTTGCTAGGCCACGCTACTGTAAGGCTGAGGTCGTCGTAAAAATATTGAAATATGGCTGAAACCCTCCATCTATTTATGAAGAGTAACTGTCCCAGTGATAAGTTAATGTCCAGGAGCCGCTGCTCAAAGTTATCAGAAAAGAAAAATAGGAAAATCAGCATAAAAAAAGTAAGCAGAGGCAAGAGCAAGCAGAAAAGCGTCTGCTTTAGAAATGTTTCATTAAAACTTTCTTTCTTAGGAATATCCTTTCCATTATCCCCACGTTTATGCCTATTAAAACAGAAATTCCATAACTGACAAAAAGTGCTCATTCAGTTTTAATGGCTGGGATAACCTCAGCTGCCAGAATTATATTGAGACACTGGAAATTACCCACAATCCCAACATTTAACGAATGGAAGAATCTGATGAGTGAAACAGCATCATATGAGGTTATGTTAGCAAGAATGAGGGGTAGAGGACCTGTGGTTCTAGGAAGTTGGGATGACTTTGTGGAACACCTGACCTCTAACTGGTAGCCTGACTGTTATTCTAATCAAGCATCATTTGTTGTTATTATTTTTATTTTATGATCGCTGTAGTGTCTGATTGGTAATCTTACACCTTTGTATTTTTCTGTTTTCTTTTAACCAGGTACACTTAACTAACATGTTTTGTAGCCTGACCTTCCTCTTTCTGTATGCTGTACCATGTGAGCTATGTACCATGTATGTTCATAAATAAAAACTTTAATAACAAAAATAACATGTATCACAGCTCACATCTAATTGGTCTGGATTTGTTTCTCACCTGTCCAAAGACGTAAAGGAGGCCCACTGTGCCCCCGACCCGGCCACCCAGGACGGTGGAGATCATGGAGTACACTCCTCCACCGCCAACACCGCAGTGCTCACACACTCCGATCCCCGACATCACCGTCACTAAGGCAAACAGCACGACCAAGGAGACCAGGAACATCCCGAGCATCACGCCTGTGTTCCCCTGGATGATGATGATGGAGACAAGATGACACAAAATACTATCCCATGTGAAAGTGTTGCACATCTGCAGCATGTAACTCATCAACAGCTTTAAAAACAAAATATTTGTACACAAAAAATCATATAGTCTTTTACTTTCAAATATATTTGTATTTGGGTCTAAAAACCAATGAATGAGCAACGCAATCAAGGGAATCTTATCCTTAAAACTCTGGATAAGTATTACTTTTTTTAAAACATACAGTTAATTGCATATTTATCTTTGCAGGTACAGAATGAGTAAGACCAGCACTGCAATTCATGATAAATCTTCTGGGGGATCCAAAAAAAACGTAATCTGCAGCTTTAAATTAAAATATTTTATATTTATTTTATAATAAAGAACCAAAGCACACTTTGTAAATAATTCAAGCATGCTTGTATCATATTCTCAAATATTTATTCTGTTAATGTCTCTGCACATTTTTCTCATTAACCAAAATAATTAGTCAATCTTTTGCTTCTAATGTAACGCTCCTGTGTTCAAGCTGTAGGTAAATGTGTGCAAAAATCGATATGTCTTATCTAGGAGAAACTGGAAAGAAAATTGTTACCCGCATGATATTTGCTTTAAACTCTCTCACACTATTATTTGCAGAGTTAAAAACATATGGTTAGATTTCTGCTTTAGTATAATGGAAAACTAAGGATGATAAATTATGTTCATGTTTGGAAGACATTCTGGTGACACACACTTCACTTTCGCACAATAAGTAGTGAAAGAAGCAAGTAATTTATGAGGAGATTCCTCTCACTCACACTCAAGTTACTGTTTTTCTCACATGGCAAACTATGTTTAAGCTGTCAAGTGTAACTCAAATGAATGTAGTAATTAAGATCATAGAGTCTCTGTGCTGAATCCGGAGATGACACATGCACATTAAAGTGTTTGGGATCATCTGATGCAGTGACACATACTTAATGATGGTTGCAGCTAAAAACTCAAATCAAACAGCCTTAACAGAGCTAGAAAGATAAATGTAAAGTAGAGCCAAGCCCAAGCTTGAGTCTACAGATTATAAAAGGGAAAATATAAAAATAATCGGTCTTCCAATAGCCACACATAGTTGATTTCTAATTAGAAAAGTCACTATTTATTTGCTCTTCGAAAGCACCTGATTGCACCAGTTGTGTACACTATATATGCACTCCCAAATGCATTTCAATATAATAATATTGAAAGGGAATTCCTTTAGGGAAGACCATAAAAAAAAGCTTACTGAAGGGTTCAATCTTTGGGCAGATTCTTTATTGTTTTCAAAAGATAAAAGTAAAAGAAGGAATTTGGAGGTGGGGGGTTGCTCCAATGGACAACACTCCCAACATATTACCGATTCATACTTAAAGAAGGTAATCTCTTTTACATTAAGCTGAGGGCAAACTTCATCACTAGATGCAGCTCTAAGAGAACAATAACATTCAGCATACATTCACAAAATGTAAGGATTATGGTTAAGATATAATTTAATGGAAATTGTTATTTTTTGTAATTTTGTCTCTTCAATAAACAAATGTGTTGCTTTTCTGTTGATTAATAAACAAGAAAAATGTGAGTGTGTAGTCAAGCTGTGATTATTTCCTAATATGTACTGTAGATAGAAGAACCAAAAGACAAGAAGAGAACAATACTAACCACAAGGAAGCCGGTACGTAGGAATAGCACCACACCAAAGATGTTGATCATGCAGGTGGTAAATACTCCATCCCAGGTACCGAAGAGCACCGGCTCCCACACAAACAGCTTGATCCTCCACCAGGGCTGGCTGGACAGCTGCAAGCCCTGCCGAAGACAAACAACAGTCACAGAACTGGCTGGTGTAGTTATCCCAAAATCAACAAGTCAATATAATATTTGAGGAGCAAATACCTGTGCATCTTCATGAAACAGATCATGGACATGTGAGTTGGTGTCAGTAACTCCCCCCTTCAACAGGTCTGCCCTGATTCCCTCCGGCAGGGTTTCCATTACAACCTATAAATGTGAATAGCTGTGGTAAACTTCAACAGGTGGGCTTTTTTCTTTAAATTAAGCATAGGTGTAATATCACAACATGAAGAAACTCGATTAGGGTTTGAATATATTTCAGACAGCTTATTGTTAGAATTAATTAATAAGTGACCACAGCACATTAGTTGTGGACATGAGTTTGTGTTGAAACTGAAATTGGTCCCGCCTGTCATGGTTAAACAACAGGCAGGTGCAACACGCGGACACCCGGATACACCTGGGTGTGCTCGTTGACAATAGGATCCAGACACTACAGCTAATTCAGTAATTAGCTAGGCTACTATGTTACCACAAGCTAGATAAAAATAAACAAGATTAAGACCACAGGCCGCAGTTTACGGTGAAATACTAGAAAGTATATGCCAACAGAATTGGCATCAAACAGCGGAAAATATTGTACTATAACAGTCTTAACTTACTTTTTTTAGTTTAGCTAAACAACCGTTTTTCTTTGCTAAATATATTTTTGGGGAACCTTACTAGTCGTCAGCAAAGAGAGACCGTCATATTCAAAGAAAATTAACACAATGTAATGTTTCATGGTGGCCAAATGGAAAATTAAATGGAAATAAAAAGTATGCTCCAGGTTCTGAGTCACTATTATTTAGTCTTAAATGAGACAAAGACAAAAACGTAACTATGTGGCCACTGGCCAGACAGTGAAACACAACGACAATCTTTAAAATGTTAATGTTGGTGAGCTTAAGCCTTTAATTGAGCAGCAAGCATTCAGTAAATACATTGATTACATTTGTATGAGGCAAAAACTGATACTGACAATTATCTTTGTTTTACATTATGGCGTGATACTCAGTTTCTCAGCTAACGTTAAACTCAACAGCTGGCTAAACCTACCTTTCAGAGTCCCTTATCTTTCCATGCTAAAAAAAAGAGGAATAGTCAGTTATCAACTCGACATACCAGTTCATTGTTCCTCAGAGATGTCTCCAATCAGTGTAAACAGGACTCCCAGCTCCTCCTGCTGTTAGTGTTTGGTGTGAAAACGACCACAGGCTTCTGGTAACTTTTGATAGTTAGCCTACCTCCCAGGGTGTGTTGCTGCTTTGCTCCAGGATCCTGTGTTAGTTTAGGCAAGCCCTTATGTTGACTAATGATTAAAGAAGTTAAATGCAGGTGCCACTCAATATCCTTAGCATTTTATTTCAGTGGAATTATTCCCTAAAACCTGATTTGGACACTAGATTTTGGGAAAGGAGACATGGTGTTAGGCCTACATGTTGTTAGGAATATTTCTACCGGTCTACATGTAAATAACAGACAATAAATCATTCATGTTTATATTTTTGGAGTTAACAAATGAGGGCTATGTTTATCAAGTGAAAGTGTCCAGAATAAAGTAATTGGATGTAACAGGTAGAAACATTGGTGATTTTACTTTATCAATCTTTATCTATTTCCAACCTTTCCTATCTTATTATTCTTGATTATAATATTGTAAGGATCTATATCTTTGATCTGTTGGTTTGGCTCTTGGAGATTGTGATTAACACTTTTTCAAATGTCAGACATTTCCCAGACAAAGGGAAAAAAGAAAGATTAATAAAAAAAGGACCCTCAATTATTGAATGGCACCAGCAGCTTAATGGGCTTTGGATATCAAAACAATTTCAAGGTATAATACTGTGAATAATTTTATTTATAAGGACATGACACAACAATCAAAACAACAATTGAATCAGATTGTTTACAAATCATAATATATAGCAAAAGATATAATCATATGGGTTACTTGACTGAAATGAATCAGCTACAATTAAAGCTGCACATTAACCATAAAACAAGTTCACTTGACCCGACAAGTTAGAGACCATGCATTTAAACCTTATTGTCCAACTTAAGATCGACCTAACAGTGAAGCAGAAGGGCTTCCTCGTCAAGTTCTTTAAAAGTATGAAAAGTATGCCAAAGTAGGAGATTCCCATCAGCAATTGAAAGATCTTGACACAAACGACTTGTACAGAGATAAATGAGGGTAGCAATAGTGACTGCATATGATATACTGTACATATCAGTGCCTTAAATGACATGTTTCAAAAATAGTTTTTATCAAAAATTCAATAATTCAGATATTTTTACACAAAACAATTTTTCTGGAGGTTATACAAGGACACTTATGGCCAGGTTACTGACAAGTTAGTTTAAAGGAAAGGTACTGCTGATATAATTCATGAATATTCTTCAGTTCTGGATATTGAATTGCTTAACTGAATTAAAACTTCTCCATGAACAATTAAATGGATACAATGAACCGAAGCAGTCTTACTGCACTGTGCTTTCAATAATGTCTAACAATGAAATGGGTAGCAAGTGAAATTTAAACCACAACACTTTTAAGTTATACTCCGCCCACATATTTTAACTGACAAGATTTCAATCCCACCACAGCTTCTTGATACTTGTAAAAAGAGTGATTTCAGGTGGATTATTACTAAAAACCAAATCAACATTTTCTCAGTGAGGGCTTTTCATTCCCAATCGTGGCAAATCCCATCATAATGAACAATCAACAAACTTGATTTACCAATAAACAAAAAAAGAGAAATTAATTTTACCTAGTCGATTTAACTCTTTATAACAGTGGTGAGATATATAGTAACATTAGAAAGCCACATCTTTGTCAGCAAGTGAAATGGATTCATTGTTGAATGTTAAAAAAATCCTCTGACAAAAAGTGTCTCTTGCACAAGCCTCTCTATTGACACAAAGATCTAACAGTACTTCTCAGAAGAACATAACAATATACAAAGTATTTACAGCAGTATCATACATTCTTGTGGGAATGTTCAATGAGGAAAAATAAAGCATTTTTTCATGATTTATGTGGTTGCGGTCTGTCCCTGATTGTCTGTAGAATTTAAACAAGAGGGAGCTAAATACCAATTACCAAACATAATTTGATGGCGCATTTTAAAACAGTAATTTACACATAGCACCTCACACATACTTGTACACATCGAAAACCATAAACAGTGTGATGAGGTACAGATGAGACCTCACTCCATCACTTTTCAACAAGGCCTGAACAGATGTGGTGATAATGCTCAAAACTGAAGACTCTAGCACAGTCAATGAAAAAATGCTTTTTCCATCCATCCACAGATAATAGTTTGAGAACTAAACTCGGAGCCATTTCTTGCTAAAATAATAATATATGATGCACAAAAATAAATAAAGCTCCCATATTTCAACGTATTACAGACTGAATAGGTTGATAGCTTATGTTTTTGTTGTTATTGTGCAAGAGGAATTAGTAGCCATAGCCAAAACTGACTAAAAAACAAAAATACAGGAATGAGTAAAGGAAAGCCTGTAATTAAAAAAATTAAAGGCACAGATGTAAAACGAATAAAACTGGAAAACAAAGCACCTCATTTCCAGGTGGACACTCTTTCATAATATAGCCTTAATGAGCATTTAGGGGAGTCTAATCACATTGTTTCCGAAAGAAAACAAAGTATTTTAAACAGCAGAAAAACAAGAGCCACAGCATCATCCGTAATTTCAAATTACCCAAATCTGAAATGATGAACTACATTCCTGTAGTTGAATAATTGTGCAAATTGTGCAAGAGTAAAGCACAATCCTTGTAAGTAATCTTATTTCAACTCATTTATACTGGACAATAGTAATAACCTGGCAACCATTACATGGATGTAGCTATTTGAAACCGTAATCATTTTTTTGTTTTATTTTTTTAACACAAATACAGCCCAACATTTGCCTATTCTGTCACAAAAGGCTGTGCCAAGAAATTAACCCACAAAGGGAACGTTTCATTAATGGAAATACAATTTCTTCTCTTTGGCCAATTTACAAGACAAGTCTGATCTGCAAATGGAAAAAACTATTATATTCCATATCAGATGAATACACTCAAATCAATGGGGCACACCCATCTCAGGTGACAGTAAAGTGACTTCAACATAAGTCGCATTTATGATCTAATCATTTTCTCATTTCTTAGACAACTTAACAGGAGTCACACTGCTGTATTAAGATTGTAATTAGTGAATTTCATATAATCAGCAAGCGGGGGTAGCTACAGTAAGTAAGAGGCAAATATAAATAGGGGGCTATTATTAACAAGTGGTTGCATTAAGCAGCGAAAGTGACAATGATTTTTTTTTGTGCAAGGCAAACTGATTGACTTTAAACATAATGTCTGTGGCGATGCTATGAGAGGATATTTAGCTTTGTCCTGCATTACACTTTGGTCATGACTCAATTTACATTCTGGGGCAAGAAATAACACATTTTTTAAAGGGGAAGTGCTAATTAAGTATTTCCATTTTAGGAGGTTGCGCTTAACAATACAATTTTTTTTTATGTTTTATGACAAAATACTTTTAGAAAGAAAACATAGTTACAATGGGACTTGTTTTGGCTGAACAGGAGACATGAGATAAAGTGCCGCTGAAATTATGAAGAGGAAAATGAATTCTTCAGCCAAAGGTTTCACTGGAGGAAACGTCAGGGGACGAGTTCAGCTGAGACCTGGTCTCGACGACTCTGACTAAGGGGAACTCTGAGAAGTCTGTGCTGTGTGCTCGGAGACTTAATTGTCCATTGGCAACGGTAAACTGTGAGGAGGATCCAGATCTTGATGTCTGGAATTGGGATTTGAAGTTCTGATCGAAGGAGCTTATTTGAAACGTCTGAATTATGCCTTGAGAAGAGTCTGTCTTTTTGGAGGGTGAGACCTCCTCCAGAAAGTCCTCCTCAGCCGGAGACACAGCAGATGGAGGGGTGGTCTCGTCGCCTGAAAACGAAAACGAGTGCTGAGAGTCCCCGGCGAGCAATCCAAAGTGAGGTTTCTCTGAAGTGGACCTTAGCGGAGAGCTCATCCCTGATTTGAACCTGCTGGGGGAAGGAAACTGTTTCTCTGTGGAGAACAGAGGTTGTCCCGCTAAGGTGGGGTTTTCCGAGACCAAGCTGAGGCTTTGGCTGGTCAGGTAGCTGTCGTTCTGGCTGGTCCTCTCAAGTGCTTGCTGGAGAAACTTTGAGTATTCTTGCAAGAGGCTGACCTTTTCGGTAGCCGGCTGAGGCTGGGCACTAGAGACCACAAGGTTTTCCACAGGGTTGCCGTCTGAAACCTCGGAGGAATTAATGGATATGCTGGATGTCACCTCTGTGTCGGCCACGCTGAAGGAAATGTCCGATTGCCCGTTGGCTTTGTTGGAGTAATGTTCCAACAGCGTCTGAAGAACCTCGTCTGGCAACACATTCTTGTCATGCGTGGCTTTAATCTCTGCGCTGATAGGCTGGGGCTCCAGGATGGTGACGGGGACAGTCTCGTCAATGACGGCAGAGACTACGGTTTGTGTGACAGGCGGCTGGGAGGAAATGCTGCTTGTGTTCAGGCTGTAATCCCGACTGTTGTTGGCCATCGCAGCCTGAAGGTAGCGCTTCTTCTTCAGGAACTGCATGGCGTCGTCGTAGTTTGTGCTGCTAGCTGCTGGCTTTGTTGGTCCTTCTTGAAGAGTTTCAACTGACTCGAGCTCTGTGTTACTTTCTACCTCTAAAGGGCCTTGCTTGTCCACGATCTCAAAGGTGTACTGTGTGACCTTAGTATTTTCCTCAAAGGAAGACGAAGTGGAGAGGCAGGGAGGAGTTTGTTCACTGGACTGTTTGAGACTCCTCTTGGGGACTTTCTTCAGGACTAGTCTGGGGGGAGTGGTGTCCCCCGACGACACTTCTCCCTCTTGGTGTTGGCTAGCCGGTTCTTCAGGTTCCACAGAGAAGTCAGCAATCACATACTCGTGTTTGACCTTGGAGGACACAGCAAAGAGAGGTAGACCTTCAATTTTATTCTGTCTCTGCTCCTCCTTCTCCTCCGTTTCGATTACAGTGACAGTGTGCCCGTCTGTCTGGGCAGCAGTGGAAGCTTCGGGACTCTTGTCTGCACACTTTTGTCGTTTTTTCTTGGGCAGTGAACAGTCTTTGGCAAGAAAAGGGAGGCTCAAAGAATCTGCTTCACGCAAAGGCCCGACTTTCCCAGCTGCTTTGTTGGTCTTTCTCTCTCTGTTCTCGTGACACATTCG